ACCAACACCAAACACACGCATACGAAGAAAACGCATGCACACTACATATTCAAAAGTGGTGTCAAAAGTATACTCTTAGTATACATTTTAGTATACATTTAGAATGTAGCGTAACCGAAACTTTACTTTTGTTTAAAACATAAAAAATACTACATTACATTTTATAGTGTGGACTCGCACATGCGTTGATAGTGTCTATTCCCTCAAGGACCAGAACTGACCCCCCCCCCCCATCCCTCCCAGTCCACACAAAAATAAAATTACCCCCCCCCCCCCTTTTTTTTTTCTTCAATTCTCATAATTGGATGACCCCAAATTCATTAACGGAATTCTTAAAGTAAACCTTTTATCGTTGATTCCTAAACGTTTACGGTAACGTGCTTTTATCGCAGTTCTGTTCGATAATTATTTTTTTCCAGAGTTACTTCCCTTTTTTAACAGTTATCTACCCTATACAACAGTCTCTATTAAACAAAACCAACCAAAATAGTTAACGATTACTTGGTATTATAAACTTAACGTGCGGTAAGGTCCACTTTCGCTTGACTAGCATCCACTCTTGCCTCTCTTTACCATAGCCACAGTATATTGACAATCCACCTTACGAGATTGACATAAATTATCGAAGAGATACAAGCTAATCTTATACATTAATTAACATTAAGTTATGTTATAAGGTGAATCCAATATGGGTGAAACTCGATCTAAAGATGACGGCATAGCAGATATCAGGAGACTTCAGAGAGATTTAGATGCCGAAAGGACGAACAGACAAGAAGCACAACAACAGTTAGGTGTGTTGTGTTTAGTGTGACTAAAAACAAGTATAGTTTTTCAATATATAATCTTGTTCTCACATAAATTAGAATCGAAAAATGTTTTTAAAAAAATCACAAAAACTTGATATAGTTTTCCTATTATAACTTATGCTGAATTATTTTAAAAAAAAAATTAATTTAGGATACTATTTTATTTGCTGGCTATTTTTTACGGTTAGTTTACATGAGATATTTGGGTGCAAGTGTTGGATCAACGGCGTTTTTTTTTACTTAATAACGGGTTAGTAAACTTTGGTGTCTTTGAACTGTCAATTACGATTGTTCGTCTTATTTCTCTACAGAGCAAGTCAAGGCTGAACTGTCGATGATACTTAGGAAAAATAAGGAGTTGCAGTTACAGCTAGGTAAAGTAGGTGAACGGGAAGGGGGAGGGGAAGGGGGGGGGGTAGGGGTATATTAGGGCGTGCGACCATTTGATATAAGAAGCAGGGGTATGTTAGTTTGTGTGACCACTTGATAGAAGAGGTAGGGGTGAAATAGGGGTGGGAGCTGATGTACATTTGGTGTGATTTTGACCAAACGAAACTCACCAAAACCCAAATGAGCATACTTTTTGCACTGAATTATATCGTGCTTAACAGTACTGTTCAGCACTGATCGTAAGCCTTACTTTTCGGAAACTATTCTAAAATATCTTGATGATTTATATAACATTCACTTTACTTTGCCCACTGACATGTAGTTACTGCTAAGTAGTGTCAATGTTATGAATTATTTGATTGATATATTTCAAACTATTTTATTACATCGAAACCCAATCGACATTGTATTTTATTTCTTTTAATGTTATAATAGGATTAATTTTTATAACATTTTAGCATATTGATAAACTATTTTTATCTCTCTCCGCCCCCCCCCCCCCCCCCCCCTCATTAACAGTGAACTGTAAGCAAGACTTGGAGAAAGAAAAGCAGAATACACAGACAGCTGTAGAAGTCAAGGACAAGACTACCAAACACTCAAGTCAGATGAAGGGGACGTTGGGTATGGAAACTATTTTGTCCGCTCTCTTGCAAGTTGTGTTGATCAGAGGATCCGAGGCGTAGCGAGTGAGAGGGGGGGGGGGGGAGGGGCGGAAGGGTGACACCATTTAGGGTGGGGGGGGTGACACCAAGGCAAAAAGAAGCAAAATATATACAGAAAAATGATAATTTCACTTAATTAAATGATTCATTAGAGTGAATTAAATAGTCTTTTAAGAGCAAAGTGGACAAATCCCAACACAGGTGGAGGGGGGATGACGACACCATGACGTAAACCTGCTAACGATAAACAAAACATGTAACATCCAGCTTCATTTATAACCGAAAATAGATAGAAATCGTTAGTATTATCTGAGCACTGTTTAAAGCAATTACCGTGGGGGTGACGGGGGTAAGGGGGGGGGGGGGGGGGGGTGAAGAGTTACATCAACTCAACGTTGTAATATATATGCCTGGGGAAAACGGTTTGGTTGAGAATCGTAATAAGCTATATGTTACTCCATGTATGGGGTGTGGGGGGGGGGGGGGGGGGGGGGAGAGGGGCGGTGTAAAAAAATTATATACACCCAGAAGAAAAAAAGTATTTGAATACATATACACATGCGTATACACATACTTACAAGTGTACATAGAATATATATATATTGATATATATATATATATATATATATATATATATATATATATATATATATATATATATATAATATATATCGATATATATATATCGATATATTTTTTTCTTACGGGGGGGGGGGGGGGGTGACACCATTAGGTGTCGCACCGGGTGACACCCGACCTTGCTACGCCACTGGTGGTGATAATCCACTCACCAAGTCCGATAAGAGGGGGAGGACGGACTGGGAGAGGGTCAGACCACGGGGTTATGCAGGATTTCATTAAGGTTGGGTGGGTGGGGGGGGGGGGGTACTTTTCACAAATTTCTACGTAAAGAAATTTGGTTGTTGCTGGACTTTTGATCTTACCGAGATATTTAACAGTATTTCTATTAACTTTGAACAAATATGTTCAACCTCGTTCTTTTTATAAATCTAACATTCCATACCATTTTAAACAGCGTAAATTAGATATTATTTTATTCACAGTGTTATACCATTATTATTATTATTATGGTCGTTGTTATTTTATTTCATAACTCACGTTAGATGACAAAAGTGCGGAGATTAAACATCTAAAAGACAAAATCAAATCGATGGAAACAGAAAACTCTTCGACTCTATCTCAGTTAGGTAAGCTTGTCTTATTTGCTGATTTTAATTTAATGTTTAGTTTTTTTTTTAATCTGAATGTTTAAAAACAGTGCTGTTGTTATTTTTGTACTTTAACAATTTAAAAAAAAATGTTTTAAAAAAATATTTTTTATCGTCAGATTTGCTTTTGGAAAACTTAGTTCAAGAGTTCTCAAACTCGATGAGTGAAGAAAAAAAGAAAAGCATTTTCCTCACAGCTTCCACGTGTGGTCTGCCTGGCACCGTAGGACACCTGGCGGGCATAGGCGTGGACATCAATGTCCAGACCAAACCGTCTCAGCCTGCATCGTTATACGACACAGGTTTTTTTGATGAGTCGGATGCCGCCATCTCCCTACACGACGATTCAAATATCCCAGTCTTGTTTTACTGTGCGCAGAAAGGAGATTATAAATGTGTAGAGAAACTGATCGAGAAAGGCGCGGATGTTCGATACAAGGATAGCCTTGGTGACACGGCGTTGATGTATGCTTCACGTGGTGTTTGTGTTCCCGTTGCCTACAGCCCTAAGGCTAAAACGAAAGTAGAAGATCGTTTAATAACAGAGGACCACGTTCGATGTATGGAAGTTTTAATACAACACGGGGCGGATGTTAATGCGAGAAATTTCATCGGCTGTTCACCGCTAACGTATTGTACAATGTACGGAAGTAAGAGTGGAGTAGAGAAGTTGTTAGATAAAGGCGCTAGGGTCGATGATAAGAACAATGAGGGTAAGGCAGCCTTACATTTTGCTGCCGTGAGTTATACGGACAAACAGCACGACTGTGTGAGTGCTATTTTAAGACACGGCGCTGATGTTAATATCACTGATTCAGAAGGTAACACTGCCCTCATCCTCAGTGTGATGAATAAAAATCTGCAGTGTATACAAAAATTGTTAGAATATAAACCGGATTTAGATGTTCAAAATAAAATCGGTGTTTCCGCTTTAGGTTTAAGTGCAGAACACAATAAAGATGATATTGTATCCCTTCTGTTAAAAGCAGGAGCGAAACACAATATAAAATTTAATAAAGGAGAGACAGCACTTATCATTGCTGCTAAACATAATTCCGTTAAGGTTCTGAAATTATTGCTGGGGTCGGGGGCTGTGGTGAATGAAGTGGACGATGAAGGAAACACAGCATTAATTGCAGCTGCTGATAATTTTAACGATGAGAGCATTTCTTGCCTACTTGAGGCTGGCGCAAACGTGAACCATAGAAATAAATCTGGGCACACAGCCTTAAGTCTGCTTCAATCATCTTCTGACACCAGTAGCAGAAAAAAATGTATCAAAGCGTTTTCAAACGCTGGGACATAAATTTTTAATATTAAAATATCCAGTCTTTCATCTAAACTCATGTTTAAACTTACAAGCTGATAATAGTCATAAATATCGATGATGCAATACTTTTTTTGTTCCCTCGTTTTGTTGTAGGCACTGGTTGTATATTTTTATTCTTTACCTATTTCGTTTAGCATGATATTTATACTACGCGAAGCTTTGACCATAAGTGCTTTGACCACAACTGGTCAAATCACCTATGGTGAAACCACCTATGGTCAAAGCCCCTATGGTCAAATCTCCTATGGTCATAATCAATATGGTCAGAGCACATAAAACCTACAATATACATACAAAATAAAGTTATGTTTATAAGTGTGGTTAAATAATATGTATAATTCCAGTCTTTCAATTTTTTTTTTATTATTTACACAATCTCAATTTAAGAAAGTATTATACAATTACCGTGCCATATTCGCTATCCTTCCATGTGTTTACTTGTCAAACTAGTCCATCTACAGCAGCTGTTTGTCCAAACTACAGAACGAAATAAACATAAATGAATGTGCAGTTTCGAAGCTATGTTCTAAAACCTCACCCTCTGTACGTGGTGTCCTTTTCTAGCATGGCTTATATATGAAATAAAATATTATATTGTCTACCGGTATTTAGGTTTTGATTTATTATTAGAAACTATCAAATAATTGTTCGTGTTGTTTTTCAATGAGCTGGTAACAATTTGTAAGATTTGGAGAATATCTTGTAGTACATTTACCAGTTAAATTCCATTTGAAATCACTATAATTATGTATTTCAGGGTGTGTTCCTAGACATTCATTAAACCTCCATATTGCACAGTTGTTTATATTTAAAATTCTACATAATTTACAAGAGTTACATTGACTTTAAAAAGCGGCATTGATTTCCAATGTTGATTCATCACTTAAGCATCGTGCACACTCGTTGGTGTCCTTTAACAGTCGCAATCAGATTCAAGAACAATTAACACGTCACCCAAATATCAAGTAAAATCTCCCTTTTCGGACCTAACGATTTAATAGGGATGGTGCGGTCAGCACTATAACCAGCCGCCTTTACTTACCCTAAAACAAATCAGGTACCCACCAGAGCTGTGTGGACTCAGGGACCTCTGCCAGTCTCATCAGGACTAAGAAACAAACTTGAGGCCTTCAGGTTTGCACTCAAGGTTTCCAGTGTTTCTTCCAGACTTTTTTCTCCTGGGGGGGGGGGGGGGAAGCACTTAAAATTTTCGGGGGGGGGGGCGGTAGACTTTCTTCGGGGGGGGGGGGGGCGGACACTGTTAAAAGTATATATTTTCTATATAAATTTTATAAATTTCATTTCGTTCGGGGGGGGGGGGGGGGGGGCGGTACATTTTTTTCCGGGGGGGGGGGGGGTATATATATATATATATATGCATCTCCACCCCCCCCCCCCCCCCACCCCCCACCCCCGAATATTAAAAGGCCGGGTGCTTTTCATCAGTCACTTTCCCTTTTAATTAGGATGTCACACAATTGAAATAGGTCCGTGAAGCCATTAAGTAGTCTATTTTTGTAACAATGGATAATTCTGTAATGCAGCTAAGAATGAGTTCTTAATATACGGGAGGCACAAAGGAATTATTCAAGTAAATCATCAACATAAGTTGTAGCATACATAATTTACAATGCTGAAGATAAGCCAATAAGTTGTAGCATACATAATTTACAAAGCTGAAGATAAGCCAATAAGTTGTAGCATACATAATTCACAAAGCTGAAGATAAGCCACTAAGTTGTAACATACATAATTTACAATGCTGAAGATGAGCCACTAAGTTGTAACATACATAATTTACAATGCTGAATTTGTCGGCGTGGTCGAGTCGGTAAAGCTCATGGTTGCTGAACCGGAAAGTCTCGAGTTCGAACCCTCGGGCAGATGAGGCTCGTTAGCTGGGGACAGCCACACTTCTAGGAGAGACAACTCCAAAATCAAACAACTGCTGCCTTGTAGTTTGTTCTTGGTTGGACAAAGGCTGTGAAAGCAAATCCAAAAAGAAAAGCAGGCTGAAATCGGAGTCAATGGCCTCAATGGCGCATAACCAATTGACACGTAATCCTTAATTGTGATGGAAGCATGGTCGAGTCGGCAAAAGCCCATGGGTGATAAATTCGAAAAAAGTTTCGAGTTCAAACCCTCTTGCAGATAAGACTCGATACCTCCCAACACTAAAAATTAAGAACGAAGAAGAAGAAGCTGAAGGAAAGCCACTAAGTTGTAGCATACATAATTTACAATGCTGAAGGAAAGCCACTAAGTTGTAGCATACATAATTTACAATGCTGAAGATGAGCCAATAAGTTGTAACGTACATAATTTACAATGCTGAAGGAAAGCGAATAAGTCGTAACATACTTTTAACCAAAACTACAACAAAATGAAACAAGACAGCAATTATTGGCTGGGTGCAACCTTGCCCTCTATAAATGTCTTTCTCTCCAAGCCAAAATAGAAAAGACAAGAGAAGATAAAAGTAATGGTAACGTAATCTTTCTGGAAAAATCCCTAAAAAAATACACTGAAAGTAATAAGAGACGGAAATGTAGAAAGAGGTAAATTTTAAAAATCAAGTAAGTAAATAAATATAGCACTAATAATGCAAAATACTACCATAAGCAGACTGATATTTAGCTCTGGAAAAAATAACATTTGACAGTATCGTTAATTCTCAAGGGTTTTTGTTTCTGTGTTCATTTAAAAGTGTGTATATTTATTAGGCATCGATTCACTAGTCTAAATCAGCCCCTTGCGTCGTAGTCACACCTATACATTCATGTATTTAAAAATTATTCCTTCTTGAGAGTATATATATATATATATATATATATATATATATATATATATATATATATATATATATATATATTAAAATGTCTACGCAGTTTCATGTCTGACGTATGATTCATTGATGTCTAAGTTGTATATGTAGGCTGATTTTTCATGCCAATGTCACTACCTGTATTTCGGCTGAGTGTTAGATTGTCAACGTTTTAGGTGAGTCACTTATAATGCTTGGTTTCCAGTGAGTATGCACATAGCTTTTTGAAGCAACCCTTACACCTGGATTCATTTAGGTAAACTTTCAGGATTTTCCTGAAGACGTCGCTGGTGGTCAGGTAGATGAAGATGTCGATGGCGTAGTTGAGCAGGTGTAAGATTTGGCTCAGTTGTTGCATGACGTGGAAGAAAGGCTCACATAATCTTGGGCCCGTTATGTGTGTGTTGATCAATGCCAATATTCGTACTCCATAACTCGGGAGATAGAAGACGATGTAGACGCTGGACACCCAGATTAACAAAGTGGTAGATCTCATCTGTGCTAGACTCAAGACATCAGTCCTGTTAAGGAGTCTTGGCACTCGCCCAAGTCTTCGATTTTGTAGATCAAAATGTTTTTTAAGTTTCCTCACGGCTGTTAAAATTCTTAGATTCAGGAAAAATATGGTGAAAAACGGCACGACAAAGACAACAACCGTGTCGGCGTAGGTGAATATACTTAAAAATTCAATGTAGTTGGGGTCAGTGACACAGGGGGATTTTTTGTTGGAGATATCGAGGGTGAAGAAACTGTGCGAGTAGGCGATGAGGGACACGATGGTGGTCAGCGAGATGGAGATGATAGACGTTCTCTTGCTGCACAGGTAGGAGTATTTGAAAGGATGACAGACGATGACGTAACGCTCCATCATCATCAGCACCAGAAACCAGGCGGACAGGAAGCTGCTGACGTATGACGTGTACACGACGTAGAAACAACTTCCGGTCGCCCAGGCGAGAGAGGGGAAGTGGTTGACCAAAGAGTTGACAACCTGGGTTGTCAGGAACATCATGTCAACCACGGCTAGCAATGCTAGGTAGTGGCTACACGGCAGGTAGCGAAACGGGGTAGCCACGAAGATCAGGAAAGAAACGATACCGCCCACAAACCCCAGACCGCATATCGCAGGAACAGCGTACCTGTCGAAAGCTTTGGTCGCTTCTCGGAGGTTCTCCAGCTCAACTGTGCTATAGCAGAATAAGCCTCTTTCGTCTGTGAAATTAGAATTCTCGAGGTTCCATACAGTGTTGAAATCGATATCCTCCCAATCCAGTCGGTAGTAGATGTCCAATGTTGTGTTCATGGCTGTTCTACGCTCCTACACGCAACTGTAAATTTCCCTGATTTTATAAGTGTTGAGCTCACACGTTATTAAATTATTTTTAAAAAATAACTGTTATTTAAAACCTGTAGATTGTAAAAAATGAAAATTATACACCATACGAACTCACTGTATATCAAAGTATACTGACATTAGGAGGAGTTTCACTTTCAGGGTTTCTTTCAAACATTTTTTTCCTCGGCAGCATTAAGACTTTCGGAGGGAGGACGTGCATGTAAAATGTACCTGCGGGGGGGGGGCGTTGATAATGCACGTTCTATATAAATTAACCAGAAGTGGTACTTATTCTAGTTTAGGTTTTTTCGGAAGCTATAACTTCAGTTTAAGTTAGGTGAATGAAGATTCATATTTAAGTATTACATTGTATCTAAAGATGATTTTTTATTATTAACTGAATAATGTCTGATGGCAAGAAGTGATATTTTACTCGATTTCCGCACGAAAACTATTCTTGATTTTCGTTTCAGTTAGGTAAAGGAAATGTCACATATACGTATACCATCATATACTTAAATAACTATTAATTTTTCTGTAACTTCTGATTTATATAAGTGGTACTTTACTCTATTTCCTGTTTTTTTTAAATACCGATGAGAATAAAGATAGCGCTTTCGTATAAAATCGTATGAACTGGTTTCTGTCATATTTCGACGGAAATTCAGTGAGTAAAAATAGTATTCTATGCTTCTTCCGATATCTTCCGATATCTCCAAATAAATAAATTAAATAAATAATAAACCGGGAGTGATCTCCCCTACACTCGAATATTCTTATATAAAACAACAGGGGATGGCAACTCGTGATATAAACATGATTTTTAATCCATTTTTAATTACTTAAACTTTTTAAAATAGAATAGAATCTCGTAGAAAAAAGAATTGCACACCAAGTGAACGCAAAACAAAATGTGTATAATAGTGCGGAATATTATTAGTACTTTAAAAATTCACATGCGTTTTTGAGAAATCGGAAATAGCAAATATTACTACTTCCATTCAACGGAAATAACTCAAAATTTGATAGAAGGCAGAAAATTACATCTTTTCCTTACCTGTGTAATTTCATTTATCTATCTAAAATAGTACTCAAGTTATAGACTTTTGAAAAATTGAAAGTAGAAAAAATTCTACTTCCGGTTATCGGAAATCGCTCAAAAATTGTTACGGATTTACGATTTTGATGTAATACGTATATGTGAAATCTAATCAACTTAGCTGTGACGGTACTCAAGTTATCGTGATTACACACACATACACACACATACACACACACACTAAGACATCCGGACAGAATTGCAAAGTTCAGTTTTTTCGACTGAATTACGCATAAAACGCCAAAATTTTTATGTATCTGGATTTATAATTTTTGTCAGATTAAAATAAGTCCTCTTTACTCCGGATGTGACGAAGGACTGAGGTGTAAAGAGGTGAAAACTATCAAAATTTCATGTGATTTGTGTGCACCATTACAATACTTTATCTATACTCTGTATACGAGAAAGTAAAAACAATTCAATTACATAAACTCAATACCTGGACATAAAAATTGTGGATTGAAAGTAGCGAACTATATATGCACGGCATAATATTAGCATGAGGCGAAGGGATGCACAGTTTGGAATCCACAAACATAAAATCTTACAATTTTAATCAAAAAACAAAATTCGGCGTTAAAAACGTAAACGCGCACCTGAGTAAACGGTTTATTGAAACTTACCACTCAAAAGAGCTAGCGAATTCTCAAACAGCGCGCGTGAACGGCTGAGTTTTCATTAGCCGTGCTGTCTTTTGGTTCAATTTATATCTCTGCGGCGAGGTCGTCCGATGACGTCAGCGAAAAATGGGGGAGGTATTCCACAAGAAGGAAGGGAGGGGTAAAATTATAGGATGTTGCGCACGTGTCATATTATTTAGCTTGCTGTTGTTTTTTTTTTAAAAGGAGCTAAATTTAAGCCAGTAAAAATATTTCCTATTCGTTCAGTTGTAAACAACTTAAATTTTTATGTTCCGATAAAAACTGCAACAGATTCCGGTTATCAGTTTACACAGTTTTTGGACAAGATTATTAAGTACTGTCTGTGTCATCCACATGGAGGAGGGGTGTGATTACATTTTTTTCTTAGGGTCAAGCCTTTTGTATGTGGTCAGACAAAGTTGAGTTCGTTCTTAAAAAACTCTGAACTCACGGTACGTCAATCTAACCAAGGGTCGCCTACGTGTTTTGATCAAGTACTTTTTAATTATATTTAGCCTGCTAATAATATAGTATAATATATTAAACATCTAAATATAATTCTAGAAAATTCGGTATAAATAAAACCGAAGTTATTTCTTGCAAAATATATCGTTTATTATTACATAACAATTAGGGTTTCAGTAGCGCTCCCACTTTGTGGGATTTTGACAAAACTGATACAGGCGAAAAAGTCTTAGAATGAGTTTCTTTATGATAATATAATATAACATTCTTAAACTTCTTCAAAATTAAGGAGTAAAGTATCATTTCCGTTTATCGGAAATCGCTCAAAATTTTTCACATTCGGGCAAGTGTCCATTTGGCCGTTTGTCGCATTCGGGCAAGTGTCCACTCGGGAAAACTTCCGGCTCCCCCTGTTCACACGGAAGTAGAGTAAAATTATACTTCCCCGTTACCGAAATTCGCAAATTTGTCAACTTTTCCTTAACTTTAGTCAAGTTTAGAAATAGAGAGATTTACCACTTCCTTAAATCAAATAAAAAAAAATATCTTGGTATAGGATCTTATTTTCGTTGATAAAATTTCGTCCAACCGAAACGGGACTCAAACTATTGTTTGTTCACCTGGAAATACAATACTTCTTACTGGGTGTTTTTCCGATGTCAAGTCAATTTCGATGCTCAAACGTTAGGTTAAATTAATGAACATGTTTTATTTAATATTCAAACTATGATTGGCTTAAGATTAGGTTTTGTATATAAAAGAAAGCGAACAAAAACATGTTTTCAATATATATATTTAAAATTCTAACATCGATTTTTTTATCGACTGATCAGGGATTAATAAAACAATAAATACAATGCCTCAGAAAACGTAATAAAAATATTAATCCCCAGATGGATTAGGTTGATAATCCAGTACACGGAGGTTACCTATTAACAAAACAAAGCTTTTATAATTAAGACGGAGATTAACGTATAACTTGGGGCGGCTGCTCATTATATCTCTTGTTACAAAGAATCAATAAAATAACAATGTGTTGACGCTTACAAGCAAAGGATGGCACGTATTCCACAAGGTCAGGTGAGCTGGTAAACCACGGGTTAAACCACGGGTTAAACCACGGGTTAAACCACGGGTTAAACCACGGGTTACACCAGTTCAACACGATGTTTTGTGGATTGTGTTTCGCTGAGAAACATTTATTTACGTCAGGTTTATGGGGTTGGGGGAGTCACGAACATTTTCACTTGTTTTATGTGGAGCGGGGTGGGGCATGCGCGAGGGAGAATTGACGCCCATATAAAGTCTTAAAATGGGTTTCTTTGAGCCAAGATCACGTTAACTGTGCACCGATTGCCTTCCACGCTAAAATACTCTACACATCGGAGTGGGGAGCCACGTGGGGAGTCACGTGGGGAGTCACGTGGGGAGTCACGTGGGGAGTCACGTGGGGAGTCACGTGGGGAGTCACGTGGGGAGTCACGTGGGGAGTCACGTGGGGAGTCACGTGGGGAGTCACGTGGGGAGTCACGTGGGGAGTCACGTGGGGAGTCACGTGGGGAGTCACGTGGGGAGTCACGTGGGGAGTCACGTGGGGAGTCACGTGGGGAGTCACGTGGGGAGTCACGTGGGGAGTCACGTGGGGAGTCACGTGGGGAGTCACGTGGGGAGTCACGTGGGGAGTCACGTGGGGAGTCACGTGAGGAGTCACATGAGGAGTCACGTGGGGAGTCACATGAGGAGTCACGTGAGGGAGTCACATGAGGAGTCACGTTGGGGAGTCACGTGGGGGAGTCACATGAGGAGTCACGTGGGGGAGTCACATGAGGAGTCACGTTGGGGAGTCACATGAGGAGTCACGTGGAAAGTAACATGAGGAGATATGTATTTTAATTATCTCCTCATCTTGCTCTTCTTCTTCTCCGTTCTTAATTGTTTTATTTCAGATGCTTTACTCCAACACAATAAACAATTACAAGTCATCATGCGCTTCATATGGCTCGTTAGCTTCGAGTTTTCTGTATGGCTTTGCTTTCAAATGTTTTGTTTGATTTAACAGCTTTCTTCTCCTCAATTATTTGCTGTTTCCAGATAACAAACTTCATCTTCCCAGGCTCTGAACAGGCGTTTTTTTTTTTTGAGCTAGCATTGATGTGCATTACAACACGACCACCCCTTCCTCCGTCATCTTGTTAAGTAAAATACAATATGATATAGATTAGCGTTATTTTTAGCAACGTTATATCTAGTAAATGTGTAGTATGACTTAGCATTATCTGAAACAAAATATTCGATAGGGCTAGTGTTAAATGCTACAGGGTATTTTAAACATTGAATACTACACAATACTCGCAATGGCTAGCGTCAGTCCAAATGCTACAAAATAATCTTAATGATGGACATTAAAATCTAAACCGGGACATTTTCTTTTGAATCACAGTTCAGACTTTGCCAGTCATTTGCAATTTGTTTCTAATTTTGAATCCCTAAAGTTCTACGAAGTAATGTGGCAAATGAATGGCGCTAAACATAGATGGAATATTCACTGAATTTTCGCTTCGGTGGGGAGTTTAAAAGAAATCAGGAAATCTGTCAATGGAACCCAGCGGGAAAAGTCTAAAGAATTTCATTACATATTTTTAAAATACTGTGCGGTGTTATTAAAGTAAATTTGTGGATTTTTGGCGGACTTTATAAAAGATTAGACTATGTGATGCTTTTAGTATTTTCGGTAACTAAATGCATTTGTTTAAAAGCCAAAC